GGTTGATAGTAAACTGGCTGATTCTAGAGGCCGTAGCCGTCGTGGTGGTTGAGTAATTTCAAAAATTAGGTTCGCGTTGAAGTTGTTGTTTTTTTTTCTATATTGACGAATAACACCTCATATTTTCCCTGCTCCGTCCAGTCGACGCACGAGAAGTAAATACTCCGTCTTGTCAGAACAAAAATTTCCTGAAGTCAATATCGGATAGCTTGTAGATATACCCTTTGTCAAGTAAAAAAAACGCGTGGATACTCCAGCCATGCTTGATATTAGGGCTAGTTTGCGCGTGACAAGTGGACTTCTAAGAGATTAAGGTAATGACAAACATCCAAAATAACAAAGACTCGGTCATAACATTCAATAACGAGATGAATATTAGGCTAACCTCTCTCCGCCAGTTGATCAAGAAACCACCAGTATTTCTATTAGCGAATATAATGCATTGTCGTATATGCTTAGAGTGACTATAGATAAAGGATAACGAAACTCAGACTACCGGCAATCATCCACCAACAACCATAACGTTGTGCTCAAATATAAGAAGCACGACCAAGATAGTCCAAAACATCTGCATTGAAGTCTCATGTTACGATTACCTGAAGCAGACAGCCAACAGAAAACCCCAAGACCTATACCGAAAATTTCCACCACCAACTATTCCATCCCTTCCATCATCGCCACCTACGGCATCGGCCTCGCCCCTAACGGCTACTACCTCGTCAAAGTGATGGCCAATACAAAGGGCCAAGCGAGTAATATTCTGTACGCTATGACACCTTAACACCTTATTGTTGTACATAAAAGCAAAGTACAGTCCTAACAAAGTCCCAAACCGCTCCAGTCCGCGCGAAAACCTCCCCAAGTTGAAAGGCAGCATCCCGGCCCCGGTATGGGATATACTGGCCAGAGCCCGCGGCGCGCACTTGAATGCCATGGAGGGATTGCCGATGTTTGCGGCTGCTATGGTAAGATCTGTGCTATGTCTGGATTCTGGGTTTGTGGCCTATGTTTGGCTTATGGCTAATGTGTATACGATATGTAGATTGCTGGAAACGTGGCGAAAATTCATGCTGATGAGCTGAATGTCCTGGCGGCGGAGTATATCGGTGCAAGGATCTTATATACGGCTGTGTATATGGGTGCGAGGTCTGAAGCGCTGAGTTATCTGCGGACGGGCGTGTGGGCGTGGAGTTTGTCGTTTGTCGATTCCGATCTGGGGGCTTATTAGGGCCGGGAGAGCGTTGAATGCGGAGTAGATCCTGGTTTAGCATGCTTTTCTTTGCTAATGTCAATCGTCTTCTCGTTTAGATCTCATCGTGGAAATTGATGTTCCATTGACCTTGAGAACAATCAATAAGATTCATAATCATACCCAGAGAACACCACCAACCCAAGCATAAAAAAACACCCCCCTTTCCTCCCACAAAGATAACCCTAAACCAAAGACAACATCCCCTCTCCCCTCCCCCTCCTCATCCGATTACTCCTCTCTATAACCCCCGTCTCAAAATCCCACCACCACCGCTGAAACATAACCTGTCCGATTTCCCACCCCCCTTCCTCGAACGGATCCCTACTTTACACTTTGATTCCCTCCCCGCCGATATCCTCCATGTCGTAGACCAGTCTCGTCAGACCCATTGGGTCCTGCGCGCTCTTGGGCCGAAGGTGATCTGGGAGATTAAATACTTGGATTAGTTTATCGCGCGTGCCGGGCCAGGGGAGGAGGTCGAGGACCGGGTGATCAGGGATTAGACGCTGGGTTAGTGTGGGTTGGAGGTGAGGGGGGAGGGTGGTTAGATCGGGGTTGTCAGTGTTGGGGTTATGGTTATGGTTATGGTCAGGGTCCGAGACAGAGACACTAGGTGTTGAGGCTAATGAGGATGCCGGGGTAGAGGAATTCCCTAAAGAGAGCGGAGAGGTAGAGGGGTTCGACGACTCGCGAGGTCGATAGAATGGGCTGATTGCTGAGAGATCCCAAATGAGATGAGCCAGATTCAGTCGGTAGGCAACTTTTGTCGCTGCATTGAGGAGCATCAGGGATGGGACCTCGAGTATTCTGTCGTCGGGGAATGAGAAACTTGATGTCTCGCTGGTTTGGAGAGCCGTGGAGATGTCCAGTCTGTCGTTGCGATTGGTGCTAACACTTTGGTGGGAAGGGGTTTCTACAGGCCCCTCATTCTGTGGAATTCGTGTTTCAGGATCTGGCCAGAAGTCGAAAGGTGGCAGAAAAGAGTCATCTGGAATTATGGATAGGCCTATATCCGATTGAGGTGCTGTGGTGGAGACGAATTGAACGAACGGGTCCGAGGTGATTATTTGCGGTGGAGTGCACTCCCCATTTTGATCCGCCATTACTTGGACATTAGATTCTTGGTCCTCCTGACGATTCAAAGTCTGGTAAATATTATCAAGCACATCAAAAGACATCGATGATAAAGATGATGCCGAAGAAGTATCATGAGTCGAAACTGGACGTCCTGAGGGACTCTTAGCCCGCGACTCTAGTGCATGCAGATGATCCTTTTTCCGTTGACCTGATAGTTCAGCTCCTGAATTCAAGTATCTACACTAGGGAGCTTACGATAACGTCGCTGTGCAAGGATATTCAGAACGCGCTTGCGCTCCGCCGCATCCTCGGCGATATCCGGGACCACGAGCTGTTTGGCTTTGCGTTTCCCTGCCATGCTGTCCGTATACGATCGGGAATGCTCTCTCGATACAGAAGATATTAAACCAAGAGAAAAAGAGACAAAAAATGGTTGCAAATGAGGCCAGACCAGGGGTTCGTGATCAGGGGAGATGGGCATAACGTTATGTTGCCGGATCGGGATGTGGCGTCAAGGCCAGGCGGGGAGCTCGTATCCGACTCATGTTGGCTGTTAAATTATTGGGTGAAACACTCATCATAACAATAATAAATATTCCCCGAAGAAGCTGCAAATCTTTCATTCTTGTCCTTCTGTAGAAATGAACATGGCCATCACAAAACATCATGGATATCAAACTGCCAACATATACTGCCCTAATCCTTCCAAAACAAAGCATACCAACACAAATAGAGAAAGTAATCCAAAAAGGCCACTCAACAAATTCCCAAAAGGTCAAAAAGAAAGGTGAAAAAAATCACTCCTTCTTCTCTCCCCAACCAAACAACCCCCCCACACTCTTCGCTCCCCCAGCAATAGAGCCTCCCACCGACTGAGCCCCGGAAGCAACGCCCTGCCCGGCGCCCTTAGCACCACTAACCACGGGATCGGTCACGCCGCCAAGGGGACCGCCATAGGAGCCGTTCTCGTCCTTCCCGCCCCTCTCGGCCCTATTGATGCCCTCTTTCGAGAAGGCGTTCCCGACCGGCGCTAGAAGCCCGTTCTCGCCCAGTTGGTTCCCCACGAGATTATGCACGTCGTCTTGGATCTGGTCGACTTGTTTGACGCCGGTGACTTTGGATTTGGAGAGGGTGTCTATTCAAGGTAGTGGGTTTGTTAGCTTCATCTTCTCCCTTTATTTCTTTACTCCCCCCGCACGCCCTAAATTTTGGTTATGGAATGGGAAAGAGACCTACCCTTCGTCACATAAGATGCCTTATTATCGCCCTTCCCGAACCACTTCAGATACTGGTCTTCGAGCCACGGCATCCACTTCTCATATTGGTCGTGGTAGACCTCCTTTGCCCATTCAGCGTAGGTCTGCTGCTGGCGCTGGTCGGCGGGCAGGTTATCGTAGATATGGCGTTTTTGGTCTTCGGTGTGGGTGCTGACGCTGGAGCTGGCCGTCGCGTTCTGGTTGTTGTCGCTTGCGCCGCCGGTGAGGGTCGAGGCGGTGGATTTCAAGGTGTCCATATTGCTGCTGGGTTTGATTGTGTGGTGGGTATGGTTGTAGAGAAGAAGGTATTCAAGTATAGTAATGTTATGTTATGATAGTATGATGTGTATGAATGTCTGTATCCTAGATAGAAGAAACATCTGCCCTCGAAATCAGATTAATAAATAGTAAACACCCGCAACTGCCAGATCGATTGCCGTACGATACGATTTCCAGTCCCCGCGTGCCATGACGTGTGTGGCACCCCACCCGTCCCTCCACATCTCAGATATGGCGATGAAAGATTCACCGGAATCCTGTTTCTACGCCATTTTCATTCGCGATGGTCTCGAGGGAATGGGACTGCCGGAGACGGGATGTGACGTCATCGGTTAATCTAATGCCGATGGACGGCACAGGGAGATCTAGGCACCGCATAGGCACAGGCACAGGCACATGAGGAGGTCACGGTGATTGCTTCGTCAGAGGGTATGGTATATTTATGGGGTGATGGCAGTGGGCTCTCTGTATGAAGGGTAAGGTATAGGAGGTAATGGGGATATGAAATTATCTGTCCTTGTCTTTTCTGCTCTTTTGGGTTTCTGAGGCGAATGAATGTTTGCCAGGTGATTATCATACATACACATACCTTAAGACGTGCTGTAGGTAAGGGGGAGAAAAGATGGGAAGGATTTCAAGAAGCGGCTAAATAAATGCTGCTTCCTAGTAGGCAAATCCATGGATGGATGATTTCTGTTTCAATATTTGAAATGTCCCATGAAAAATTGTAAGTATGAAAGAGTCTGGATGAGCCAAGCAAATAACTATTACAGCAATTCTACAGGAAATATCTTCCGAGCCTGTAAAGCTCTAAGGTAAGGTGTCGTTGTAGTGGCAAAAGGCCGAGAAATCCATACACTAAAATTGGCGACATGTATCCGTACCGCGTTGGGCATCATTTGAAGTCTAAAACCCGAAAATCCCATTGAAATCTATAAAAAAACGCATACCCGAAAAAGATGGTAATATCTCTATTCTTTAAAAAGCACTCTCAAATTTTGACGCGTAGATAACTTGCAATCAAACGAGTGGAAATATTTACTTTGAAATAAATGACACAACGCGCCAGGCTGCACGGTCGTGTCTCATAGAAATAAAAATGACGAGGGAGAAAACGCTTACAGCAGAGCGACGAAAGCACCGACAGCAACAGCAGCACCGAAGATGGAGCTGGAAAGGCTGGCAGCACCGCTGGAAGGAGTGATGCTGGAAGAGGGAGAGCTGCCAGTGCTGCTGGAGGCGTCGGAGCCAGAGCCGCTGCCGCTGCCGCTGCCAGATCCGGAGCCGGATCCGGAACCGGATCCAGAGCCAGAGCCAGAGCCAGAGCCAGAGGAGCTTCCGGAGGTAGAAGCGGAGTGGAAGCCGGAGGTCTTGGAGGGTCTAGGGTGGGTGGAGTTGTAGCCGTGGGTGAAGTTGTAGCCGCCCTTGCCGAAGTTGTAAGGGGGACGTCCACGGAAAGCACCAGTACCGGCAGCGGCGGAAGAAGAGGCGGTCACGGAGCCGCTGGCGTCGGCGCCAGCAGATCCAGAGGAAGAGGAGCCTGAAGAGCTAGAAGAGCCGGAGGAAGACGAGCCGGAGCCTGAGCCGGAGCCAGAGGAGTGTCCAGACGAACCAGAGGAGCTGGAACCGTCGGAGTTCTTGGAGCCCGAAGATCCAGAGGAGCCGGAGGAGCTAGAGCCAGAGCCGGAGCCGGAGGAGCTGGTCGAGTTCTTGTTGGAGCAGGTCAGGTCGAACAAAGGCTTGGTGGTCAGCTCGCTGCCGACAATACCGAAGCTGGGGTTAGGGGTGGTGGGAGCAGCATCCTGGAGGATGTACCACCAGGTGTTGACCTCGTCGAACAGGGGGCATCCGACCTCATCCCAGAACTTCTTAGCGTTCTCGGTGTTGGCGATAGCCAGGTTCTGCTTGTCGCCGCTAACGGGCCATCCGGTCTCGGTGATCCAGACCTCCTTGCCATCGGCAACGGACTTGGTCTTCTCAACGGACTCGTCGAACAGCTTCTTGGCATCGGAGATGGAGTTGTCCATGGTGTTCTGGAAGAAGGGGTATCCGTCGAAACCCAGCCAGTCGACGGCCTCGACAACGGCCGAGTTGGAGCCGTTGGTCCAGGCAGTCCAGGTGTCGACGTGACCAATGGAAGCCTTGCTCAGGCTGGTACCGGAGATGGTTGAACGGACCTTCTTGATGTAGCCGGCGAGCTCGTCGGGGCCGATTCCAATGCCGGCGTTGGACTTGACACCATCGTAGGAGTTACGGTAAAGATCCTCGCTACCGACGGAAATACCGACGACCAACTTGGTGAAGTCCTCACCGTACTTATCGATGGCGTTCTTGAGGGCGGCGATTTCGTTGTCCATGCCACCACCGGAGGCCCAGAGGCCGAGCAGAAGGGAGGTCTTCTCCTTGATGGCGGCAGGGATGGCGGATATGGGGTCGTTGGTGGAGCCACCTTGCTATGGGATTGTCAGACCATCTATGACACGAGGGATGTTTTTTGAAAGGCAGAGTACTCACGATCATGGTGTACAATCGGGCGCTGTTGAATCCGGAGGCGCCATCGAGGTTCTTGGCGGTCTTGAATTCGGCCTCGAAGTCGGCCTGCACCTTGCTGCTGCCATCGGACTTAGCAGCGCCGTAGTTGAAACCCTTGTGGGCAGCCTCGGCAGCCGCGAGGGACAGAGCGAGAGCGAGAAGGTTGGTGAGCTGCATTTTTGATTTTGAAACGACTGAATATATTAAAAGGATTGAATTAAACAGAAGCCACAAAAAATGAAGGAAGGAATGAAGAGAGATGAAAAGAGAGTGGTTTGTGAATGAAAGGAGGAGAAAGAGAGAGAGAGAGAGAGAAACAGAAATAAATGAAGGGAATGGAGATAAAAGAGAGAGAAGGAGAGAAAGGAAAGAAGAAAGAAAAGGGAGTCGAAGAAAGAGGAGGAAAAGCAGGCGAGAATCTAGACCGTGTCACCGGTGGGACGGGGGACCCACTGAGGCTTGAGCAGTCGACGAATGGCGGGCTAAAAAAAGCATCTGTCAAGGTGTCGCCGGGACGGCCGGCGCGGGAAAAAGTGCTTTTCCTTGCCCTACGGGCCCTCCTCGGCCCTCCTGATGGGCTCCACCACGCCCATTTAATAATTGTGGCGCTGTTATGGCTGCCCAGCGGTCGCCTTTCCTTTCATTTTCTTCACCCGAACCACATTTTCAGGGGCTTCTGGGGTAGTGGCAGACATTCGAACGGCCGGACCTGCCTTGCATCGTGGTGTGTTCCTGTTCCTGTTCCTGACCCAATGCAGCTTCCCGTGTTCGAGATTCAGGCACCGTCGCACACCCCAGATGATTGACTTCATCGACACAGCCTCGTCGTGGCTAGTTGGCCTTGGTCCTGGACGTGACTGCCCTGTAATAGGGGATATTCAGTGGGTCCGATGACCATTCACTAATTGAGCAGATCCCCCTAATCTATATTAAGAAACTAAAATACTCCGGAGCCTGTCCATGTCCATGTCTACCACATCGATCGGAAACGAGAATATCATGACCGAGAAAAAGAAACCGGTTTCTCGGATGATGTAAATCATTGATGAACAAAGAGTTCTTCTTGATTCGGTCCCATGGAGGGGGGATTGGAGTAACCGTTGTGACGTGTCAATATTACTCCTCGCGGGAAGGTAAACAAACAATGAGAATGTGTAATAAAACCAAGCAAGGTCCGCTAAGCAATTGAAATTAATTGCAGTGTTGATGGGATTATGAAACCAACATTTATCATAAGCCATTGATGACATGGACCACTCGCCCCGGGAAGATGCGGCAGAATTGGCCCCGGGAAGCACCGCTTAGGGCCAAATCCTGGCCTCCGTCGTTGAACCAGTCATATCAGCCAGGGGTTGGCAGTTGGCAGCCTCGTTGTCTTTGTGGATTCATTGCCGTTTTCAGAACCTTTGTTTTCTCAATTCCTGGAGCTCATTGAGTGGCAGCTGGCAATCCATAGAGCAACCCGATATGCCAACGGTGGACTCGACTCTGAGCATCAAAGTTCAAACTATTGATTTTATTTATAGCTGAGCATTGTCTCAAACTCTATTGGGTGCTATTCGGTATGCAGTAAGAAAGCATGTGTATCCATCCATGATGTCTTTAACTGCAAACTCTATAGACTCGTAGAACGACGAAGAATCACTTCATCATACAGTATACTAACTGCAAATAGAAACACGGGGTCTTCATGAACCCCTATTAAACTCTACCGCTAACCTGCTACCACATACAGTCCCCAATCAACAGATCCAGCAATTCAACCCTACTTTTTCGCTTGAACCCGGAGCAATCTCTCTGCATTCCGATACGCAAACGACTCCAAATCCTCCCCCACAATCAACCCACTCTGTCGGATCTGTTGCAAGAACTCGAACCCCTTCTCGTTCGTCGAGAACGGATAATCAACACTGTACAAGACATGCTCGATGGGCATGACATCCAACAAACAACGCAGCGGCGGAAGCGAAAACATCCCACTCGTCGTCACCCAGATATTACTCCTCCAAACCTCCCTCAGCCCCCGCTCTTTCTGACCCCATCGTTCCGAGACCGCGAACACGCGATCTAGCTGAAACGGCAACATCTCGCCCATATGTCCAATGATGATCTTGAGTTTTGGAAACCGATCGAACAATCCACTCGCGAAGAGACGAAGAATATGATGACCCGTCTCGGCGTGCCAGGACCAGCCGTACGCACTTAAAGCCAACGCGACCGAGTCGTCGTAGTTCCCCTTGTAATGCTCCAGCATGGAATCGGACGCAAACGTCGGGTGGATATAAATCGGGACATCTAGTTGTTGGGCCTTTTCAAAAACGACCCAGAAGCGCTCGTCGTCGTAGAATTCCCCGTCGAGGTGGTTTTCCACTAGAGCACCGAGAAAGCCGAACTCGGTCACGCAGCGCTCGAGTTCATCAGCTGCCGCTTGGGGTTTGCTCATCGGGAGCATGGCGAACCCGGCTAGTCGCGTCGGGTGCTGCGCGACGGCGGCAGCGAGATCGTCGTTGGTGGAGGTGCAGACGGGCGCGGATATGTTTCCCGGGCCGTGCGAGATCACCTGTAAGGATACATTTCCTTTGTCGAGGTCTGAGATGCGCTCGTCGCCGAGACACTCGAGTTTGGAGAGGACATGGGGAGGGAATTTGGCGTAGTGAGCGCGGGCTTCGGCGCTGTCGCTGCTGACTTTGGGGGAGACGAAGTGTTCTTCGAGGGTGATGAGGGGATGCATTTTTGATCACAACCAGGGTAAGTAATTAGCTGTGGACGTGGATAATCGAGTGTGGTGGCGGCTTTCTGGGTTATTATACTGTTGCTAACTCCGAGGCCGAAGGAATGGGTTTCCATTGCTGATTCAGGGTGGCTCGTCGGTCCATAATTTTGTCTAGGAGCGGACTCAAGACTCATGCTAAGCTTTTCCGAGTAACTCAAGTTTCTGTTGGGATTCCATGTGGATGTGTTGTGGATTTAAAACCGATGCCTCATTTATCGCCGGTAAGTCCTACTAACGTCCGACCGATGGCGTACCGCGACCATCTAGTAGGAGTGGAACTGTATTTGAGCACATTCAAGAAAGAGATATTCGTACTTTTCACTTTTCTCTTGTCAAAACAATTTAGATGGATCAATATTCTATATAAACACTCAAGTCTAAGCTCGTTGTTTGCAAATCGTGACATGCGGAGCCATGATACCTCCAATAAATAGCCTCTTGGTCTGGACATCATACGCAGCTGTAGTGGAAGTCGAAAGCATCTTGCCATCCTTGTCCTCGAGCATCTTCTCGACTTCATACTGGGCCTTACCTCCGACCTCGCCTGTCCTCTTGATTTGAAGAACAGTGGCCGCCACATTTAATATCCCCGGGTGGTTGAAGCTTCTCATCACGCCCATCATCTCGGGAAAAGCAGCCACAAAAATGTTTCCCTCCGAGTCAACAGATAAGTTATCCATTAGAAAGCCCGTATCAACCTCATCGATCCAATTGAATTGACCATCCACAAGCTCATGAATCGAGACCTTGCCAGCAAACGATTGCACCACGTAGAACAGCCCGTCCTGGCCCCTCGTGATTCCATTCGGCCCATGAAATCCCTGTTTCGCCACGATCTGACAGTCCCCAGAGCCAGTGCAACAGCGCGCGACGTTGCCACCACCCACTAGGATCTCAAGATCCCTCAGAAAGCCGAACTTGCGACTACGATCGTTCGTGACGAGGAACGCGTCTCCGTCTTCTTCCACGACGAGGTTGTTAGGCGTGATGATCGCGTCACTCACAATCGTCTTCACATGCTCTAATATCTCGCTGGATTTGCCCAGATCAAACACCTCGATGGTCGAATTTGCCCCAACCTTGCTCGCATCGAGCAATTCCCCAGTAGCCGCATCCACCGGCGGGCGGTGGTTGATCAGCCAGAATCGTAAAACGCCGTTCGCGATCTCCTGGACGTCGAACCCATTCAGATCGAGATCCCCGGTGTATGAGTCACCCACCTTCAGCTTCCGAAGCCCATAGAGGCCATCCACCCCCGGGCGATCGATATCCAGCACCGAGATCCAGTTCGAACCCGTCCGTGCCGACGCGTTCAGCTTCCCGCCGCCCGGACACCAGCCTTTTCGGCCTTGCATTTCCCCACATGCGGCGTAGAGCTTGCGGCCGGAACCGTCGAGCCAGATGTCTTCGCAGGTTGAAAGAAAGGGGTGTTCGATCTTCTCGCATTTGAAGGGAAATTCCTCTATGGACTGGACGGCACGGCCGATGCTCAAGGATAAGATGAGAAGATTGTGAAGGTAAATTTTGTAGAGACTAGCGATGGTGAAGATTATTGTGGGGATGAAGAGGCGGCGGTAGCTCGAGGTGCGTTGACTTGGTATTGAGGGGGCCATGGTGGATGATGGACTACTTAGCGGTGACTGAGGGATGAGGACAGAGGAACGGTTTTATATTCCGTAGGACCGTAAGTTTGAATTTACCCTCATTGTATGCATAGCTATGGGAGACAGATCAGATGATGGATATATCTAGGGTCGTGTTAGACCGACACCCCCCCCCCCCGTTATCCCGACACCCCCATTTCCTATTCGGTTTAGCGTGGCCATGTGATATGGAAATTTGGCTGACAGGCAGGCGGGTAGGCTAATAGTTCACAGTATCTCTGAACTGCTACAGGGTCAAGCTATCTACAGGCTTATACATAAGACGTAGCTCGAGGAGCTATAATAGGATCTTCAGGCAGGCAGGAAGTGATGCGGTCTGCACCGTGACACTCTTCCTCGCTGGTTGGTGCCTCATATACAGCTTACCCTATGATAAGAACCCTATACTACAGCCAAAAAGGGAAATTTGCGCGGGGTCTAAGCCTGAATAGGACTAGTACATCACGTGGGGGTGTCGGGATAACACGACCCTATATCTATTTGTCAAGAACAAGAAGCCACAGGAGCACCTGCGCACGGCCCCTGCCTAGCTTATCCGTGCCCAAGAATGCAGATTACAATTAGGAATGTACATAGTATATTACCCGACATATTAACTAGGCAAACCAAATACTTCCATATCCTAGCATTCTACCTGCCCAACGCCGAGAATGTGATTCTCTAGAAAATAGTAAAATTTGCAAGAAAAATACCAAAAGGGTAAAAACAGCGGCTGCCAGACCAACCAGGCCTAGCCACAAAGCCCTAGCTCACTGCCCAGACCAAGATGCCAGCAAATGACTGCATTTTGGAAGCCGTTTTGCGTAGTATTATTTGTGCATTACTCCATACTTTACAGCATACTCAAGACCGGGTATTATTAATAAATTATCGGGATAGTTAAGTTAGTAATGATGATAAGTATTTTTCATGAGTCAAGTACTAAGGTATATATCTGTCAAACCCTAGGATCCGTCTAAGCTGCGCTGGTCTGCTACCGTAGATAAGTTCAAGCACTAGGTGATCAACTGGT